TACTCCTAAAGCCGGAAAAGGCCCTACGCGTATATTAGACACCGGGAGGCTATAGGCCCATTACCCTACCGACCTTAGGGAAGGTTATAGAGTCAGTAGTGGCCAAAAAAGTCACCTAAGCGCGGAAACTAACGGCTTACTTCCAGATTAGCAGATGGGCAACAGGGCACGCCGGTCAACGAAACTAGCAATCCGGCTAGTGATGGCGGCAGGCCTCGGAATCGTAGAGGTAGGAAGCTATAGTGTCGCTCCTCCAATTGGATATCACAGGGGCCTTCGACACGGTCAACTATATCCGGCTACTAGCTACCCTCCGAGAAATGCGCTTTCTAAAATAGCTGGTCCTCTGGACGAGGAACTAGCTAACCGACTAGGAGGCTACTATTTACTTCAATGGTCAGGCAGCTCAACCGACAGCGATATAAGCAGGAGACCCTAGGGCTCCCCCCTTTCCCCAGTCCTCTTTATTCTCTATATCGCCTCCCTGTATAGCAGCCGAAAGAGGAGCACCCCCACTTATCAGTTGTACGGTTTACAGATAATACCAATCTCTTAGTGTTTAGCCGGGAGCCAGAGGCTAACGGTTGATAGCTAGAAACTATATAGGAGACGTGTCTTCGGTGGGCAGAGACCCGGGGGATGGCCTTTAGCTTGGAGAAAAGCGAGCTGATTCACTTCAATAAAGGGCGCAAACAGCTAAACCTCGCGCAGCTAGGAGGGGGTACCAGCCTAGTGCGACCTATAACCTCGGCGAAATTCCTAGGAGTCTAGCTAGACTGGAAGCTCAACTGGAAGGCCTACTTAGGAGCGGTAGAACGGAAGTTGAAGACTCAGAGCTATATCCTAATAAGAATCACAGCGGCAATGTAGGGCCTTGGGCTAGCTAAAGCGAGAGAGGTATACTCCAAGTATATCCGGTCAGCACTAGCTTATAGTACATCGTCCTTTCATATCCTACTAAGAAGAGCGGCGAACCAATAGCGAAGGGGATTACCAAAGCCATAGGTAAAGCTTAAAACAAGAGCCTACGGCTAGTAGCAGGAACCTTTAAGTCTATACCTACCTGAAATATCGAAACGGAGATATAGGTGCTGCCATTAGACCTATACTTCAACAAGCGACCAGCTGACTTTGAAGCCCGGCTTCAAACATACACTTTAGCTGACGGCCGAGGCGGAAAGAAGATAGCAGGGAGCATCATCTACGCGGCCTACCATAGGATATACCAAAGATTCAACCGGAGAATAGACAACAGGGGCCGACTGCGATCTTTTAGGCCGTAGGAGCCTATAGCGGTAGAACAAGCCGCCAGTGTAATTGCAGTTTGGACAGGGGGAACGGCCGACACAGACAGGGTTTAGAGGAGGCTTGGAAGGAGAGGTGGCTGAAGGAACGAGACAGCCAGGTAGCCACAAGGCCAGCCGACGACTTCAACCACCAGCAGGAGACCCTGTTCAAAGAAAAGACTCTAAGGAGGCACGAGGGCCTGAGCAAGGCGAAAAGTTCACTGCTGGTCCAAATCCGAATTGGGGCTATAGGCCTGCGGGACTTCCGCTTCCAAAGGGGCGTCCCGGAGGTCTTGACGCCTAGATACGAATGTAGAGAAGGGCAAGAGACCGTCGAACACCAGGTGATGTGGTGTCTGGCGCCACTATTAGCTCAAATTTGGGAGAGGGCCAGGTCCGAACGAGTAGGGACTTTTACTCTGTTCTGCAGGGAATGAGTCCTATAGCTGCAAGGCTGACGGGGAGGATCTTTGGCTGGCTGATGAATTCGAAGAGGTTGCCGATGTATAATCTGGCTAGAAGGCTGGAGCTGGAGCTCACGGTTTAATATCGCGCCCCCCCCCCCCTCCCTCCCAACCCACCTTCGAAGGCCAGGAGGCCTTCTCCCTTTGTACCCGCAGGCTCACTCACTGACCGTTTCCTTGATTACCGATACGGGTTTTTCTCCGACCTGCAAGGTTGCGGTTTTCCTGTATAGTAGTAGCTGGATGTCCGGCACACCCTAGGGCATAGCGGTGTAGGAATAATAATATAACGTACATGATAAGCGAACGTCCCAGACAAGCGAACGTCCCACAACTCTCCTCCTTCATACCTTCCATCTTTTTATCGACTTTCCCTCATAACGCAAAATGCCCCTGAAAAACGACGAAGCTCAAGTGCAATCAGCCCTTCAAGCAATCCAGAATGATCCGAAACTAAGCCTAAGAGCTGCAGCTAGGATTTATTCTGTGGACCACGAGAAGCTCAGTCGCCGAAGACGCGGTAAACATTCACGACGCGACATTCCGGCTAACTCGCGCAAATTGACCGACCTGGAGGAATCGGTTAATGTTCAGTATGTCCTCGATCTGGATTCCAAAGGATTCCCTCCCCACTTGTCTAGTGTGGAAGATATGACCTACCAACTACTTGCTGAACGCGACGCGGGACGCGTCGGGGCGCGTTGGGCGTACAACTCCGTTAAACGACAACCAGACCCTCACGACCCTATTCAATCAGAGATACGACTACGAGAGGGCCCTATGCGAAGATCCAGATATCATTCGTGGCTGGTTCGCGCTTGTACAGAACAAATCGCAGAGTATGGTATCCAAGAGGCGGATATCTATAACTTTGACGAGATTGGGTTTGATGGGGCGTTATCTTGACTGTACTGGTTGTTACGGGCACTGAACGGCGTGGTAGACGGAAGACAAGGCGGCCAGGAAACCGCAAATGGTCCACCGTGATCCAATGTATCAATGCCTTAGGCTGGGTACTCCCGCCGTTCATCATCCTGGAGGGCACCTATCACCTCTCTTCTTGGTACGAGGATAGCCCATTGCCGAACGACTGGGTGATTGCTACATCCGAAAACGGTTGGACTACCAATGAGATCGATCTGGGATGGATCAAACACTTCGACAAGCACACCAAAGGTCGAACAACCGGGGTTTATCGCCTCCTCATCCTCGACGGCCATGAAAGCCACCACTCGACAGACTTTGAGCTCTACTGCAAGGAGAACAACATCATTACCCTCTGCATACCTCCTCACTCATCTCACAAGCTCCAGCCAGCTGATGTTGGGTGTTTCAGCCCGCTCAAAGCGGCATACGGCAAGCAGATCGAGGAGATGATACGGGCAAGCATAACCCACATTACCAAGGAGGACTTCCTTTTCGCATTCCTTGCAGCTCACCAGGCAACCATGACGTACGACAATGCTCGGGGAGGATTTCGGGGCACTGGACTTGTTCCTTTTAATCCCGAAGTGGTGATCTCCCAGCTCGACATTCGTCTTAAGACGCCGACACTCACCAACTCATGTCCCGGCAGTGCCCATACCTGGGTATCCAAGACGCCAAACAACCCAATCGAAGCCTCTTCACAGACCACTCTCATCAAGACCCGGATTGCCCAGCATCAAGATAGCTCTCCGACAGAGATTTTAAGGGCTGTCGATGTACTTGCGAAAGGGACGTCGAGGACAATGCATCAGTTTGCATTGTTGAAGGTGGAGAACCAGAGCCTTCGAGCAGCAAATGAGGCGCTAAGCAAACGCCGGAGGATAAAAAAAACGGCTACGGCAAGGAGGATCGCTTATTGTGCAGGATGGACAGGATTTGCAAGCCCAGAGAGATGTTGCGGTGCAGATACGGGCGGAAACGCAGGCGGGTAGTGGTCGGGAGCCGAAATTCGAGACGCGTATGCGGCGTTGTGGCAGATGCGGCGAGTCTGGCCATAATGCACGCACCTGTCAAGGAGTTGCAAAAATGCCCGAGGAAGACCATTCTGAGTAATTTCAACCATTTTTTGTCAGTGTTGGTTGAATCATGTTGAAATCTGTTGTGCAGATGTGTTATTGTGGGACGTTCGCTTGTCTGAGACGTTCGCTTATCATTGTCACAAATGAACCAACGAGAGTCAACAACGGCGGCTGACATGCAGAAGCCAGTGGGGAACGTAGGACGTTCCGAGCCAATCACTTAGGACCAATCGGAACGAGTACTAGAGGTGCTCCAGAGAGCTCTCAGGAGCATGAGAGAGCACCATAGAGCATTGGCTCTAGGTGGCTCTAGAGAGCACGAGAGAGCAACCAAATGCATCTAGTATATAGTCACTCGTTCTGGAGGACTCTGGGAGTTCTCCAGTAAGCAACTCAAGTGCAAGATTGTCAGTACCCTTGGACATTGCTTGTTGTGAACCCTTTGGCTTCACCGAACCTCACCCCGTTGTCAAGTATAACCTTCAGGAGTCCCTTTCAGAAGTTGGGGCTTTGAGATTCGTCACAATCATATACGTTATAGAAAGGAGGGAGGACCAATAATATATCATGGAACGTGACTATCAACCTTTTTAGAAAGGAGGTTACAGCTCTTGGAGCTATCAACAAGCACTGGAACAGGGCATCCTTCCTGTTTATAGTGTTATAAGGCATTTTCAGCAGGACAATGCTTGGGTAATACATTTTAGCGTCTTCGACCGAGTGGCTCCTCAACTATGTAATCGAGATGCTTGAAGGCTGGCCAGCTTATAGCCCAGATCTCAATCCAATTAAGCATATTTGGGCCCTGTTGAAACGGGAGATAAAACCATGCCCTGACATATAGGAGCTCAAGAAAAATCAACTAGATTTTGCTGTATTCGTTAGGTGTCTGGAGGAGTGTTGGAGGGCCATTGACCAGGCTCAGATCGACCGGCTTGCCGACTCGATGCCCCGGCGGCTAGCCGCAGTCAAGAAAGCTAGGGGTTGGCAAACCAAATATTGAATGAAGCCCTGAATCAGGGCTTTAAACTATATGTATCTGCATTTCAAGAAATTATGCCGGTAACCTGTTATTTCGAGATAGATATGTCTTGGTCATAATGTTAGAAATTGTGAGACTAGGGGTAGTTGGTGCGGGGTGTGTTGGGCAGCCAACAGTTACATGCTCAAGTAAACTTAGATCAACCAAATGGTATTGAACAGATTGAGGTATGAAACGAAGCTTGAATTGGAGTCACGATTCCAGAGTGACCACACAAATGAAGGATCAAGATAGTGGGTTAGGGTGCCTCAGAATGTCCCTTTCTTGTTCGAACAGAAAATTGTCCTCTCTAATCCTCCCAGGGGAATTATCCCCCTTATATAGAAACAGTGTGCTATGATATGGCGTTTATGGCAGGAACTGCGTCATTGTGATGGATCTGTGTTGACTGAAAGTCTCGCATTGAACATCAGTGCTCAGTCCGTGAATCTTGGTGCCAAGGAACCCACTCAGTTCAACAGGGTGGGCCAGACTTTTAGACACCCAATATAGCTACCTAATTACCTTCCTTGCAAGCCTTCATTCTTTGTTTCCCACCTGTCGAGAGCCCTGTACAGGTCTCTCTGCGAGCGTATCTCTGTAGCCGGTTAGGTCGTTGGCTTCGGTGGTTGGCGACACCACACAGCTAAGTGTTCCACTGTCTCCCTGCCCTGGCCGCATTCGCAGTAGGGTGTAGGTTTTAGAGAGACCCTGGTCAGGAAGAGGAAGTTTTTAAGGCCTATAGTGTCACGGCACTGGACCGCCGATCCCTAGGTCACGTGGCACATTGCACTTAGCTTCAGGTTCATCCATCCATAATGTCACGGCGATTGCGCCGTGCCTGCCAGGACCCATGGGTGGAACCCGGCATGTGGAAAGCA